CAGGAAAGTATTTGCAGGGATTTTGTGGCACTTTCTTTGTGTGAGTTTAATAGTACTGAAAAAACAGTTAAACGACAGTTGTTTCAGTTGTTTCATGCAATGGCTTGCTGTGCCTGGCTCTCAGCACGTCGAAGGGTATCTCTGCTGCCACGCTTTAGGCCTTGGCACTCGCTGGGCCCTGCTGCTTTGGGGGATGAAAGTGCAGGTGTGCTCCCCGACAAGTTCTCTAGGCACTTCCCCACAAATCTCTCTGGCAGTAGAGGGAATTTTTACTTAATTCTATACAAATTAGAAGCTAATTTGCATTTCTTCAGACCATGTATATACCAGGGTAAGCAGTGTTTGCAGCCTGTCCTTTAAGCAGTTTTGTTGATAGCTTTGGAAAATTCAGTTGACCAACAGACTGAGCTCAGTCTGTCTTGGTAACAAAACCACATGTTAGTTCTGCGCTGAAACGTGGGCTGAACAGGAGTTAACCGCTGAAGGTCTGTGTGCGGTTGGCTGCCAGCCCCTTTGGGGTGGGAGAGAACCTTACAGCCTTGAAGTGCTGGGATAAATTGAAATGGGTATGGAACAGCAAACTGGGCAGTGGCTTTAAATAAGCAGAAAGCGTGGTACTTATGCCACCTCCTGAAAACACGCAAGCTAGCTTAGGTAAATACCCCTGAATGCTGTGAATCTGCTCACCCTTTGGGTGCAGGAGGACTACCTAAATGTGGCCTTCGTAGAACTCGTGCTGTTACCTACCTGGTTGTGCTTGTGGTGCCCTAATGCTTTGAAACTTCTCTCAGTACCGTGGCCTGAAGTTCAGTAACGCTGTTGAGAGTCTGCAGCCCTTACCTGCTGACTAACCTCAGAAAAACCTGGATGGCTTTGGAGGTGTGGAGACGTGCGGACAGGCGAAAGCTGCGCTGCCTGTGGCCTGAACCGAATGGTTTTTGGGCTTTTCTGCTCGATGGCTGCAGCCTTGGCAGCGGTGTGGAACAGCGATGTACTCGCTGGTCCGGCTCGGAGCTGGATTGTGTGGTCTTGGGGGTAGTGGCAGCGAAACTGTCAGGTCATCTGTGACATGGACTTGCCCTCCTCCAGGACAGCAAGTGTTTGTGACTGTTACTAGAAAAGCAGATGATTTGTATGTGTGGAAAATACTCGTTGCTTCAACACAGTGATGTGAAGCACAGGCTGTAGCTGGTGATAAGAGATCCATAACTAGAGAAGTTTGTGTCGATTAAGGGTCTAAGTTGTTGCACAGGCTGATACAGCAAGGTCCTGGTGCTCGTGAGTAGCCCTCAGTAGCTTTGGTGGGATGTGTTTCAAACGTACTAGATGGAATTTGAGCCACACGGGAAACTCCGGTTTTTCCCTTTGTCCGGATTTTCTGTACGTTACACAGTTGGCATTAGTTGGCCTCCCTGACCTGTTGATAGTCCCTGTTGTTGGGGGATTTCCTCCTCTTTCACTGTATTATGAGTCTTGAAGGCCTGGATTTGCTGTGTGGAGCAACCCTGGAGACAGCAAGCAAGCTTCCTTGGGTGGAACACCCAGCCAGTGTAGCTTCAGCCGGTCGGAGCAGGGGTTTTGTGTTTGTTACTGTGTTTGAGGTTTTTTTCTCTGCACACAAATATTGAACTTTCAGTGAAGGCCCTGGGGTAATCTTTGGAATACAGGTAGTGTTGTGGGCTGTGGCTCACACCTTGGTGTTTCCCCAGCTGGTCAGTTTAGGTCTTGTGTTAGCCATAGCTAGGTGGTTGGTTGGATCCTGGAGAGTACATGCCCTGTAAGATCAGCTTTGGTTGAATACGGGAAATCTGGGAGACCTGAAGTGTGGGTACAATCATCTGGATTCAGCAGACCTCTGTGGTGAAATCAGCACCAGACAGGGCGTTTCCACACACTTTACTCTAGCGAGCTGGCTCCTTGGGGAGTTCCCCCTCAGCGTAGTTTTCCTACCGACAGGTTCGTGCTGTGTGGTTCTTTGGGTTGGGGTGGTTTTGATTGGTTGGTTCATGTGTTTTGGTTTTTTAAACCAGATTTATTTCCAGGTAGTCTGGACTTCACAAAAAAAGAGTATGTTGGTGTTGTAGCTCTCTGCTTGTCAGCTGTTTGCTACGAGCTGGCTTTATACTCCAGTACAGGTTGTCTGTATTTTGGGGTAGGAAATTACAACAACAGACAATATCTGGCTTTATGGTCTAAATAAATCCTGTTTTAAGCCTAGCAGGGAAAAAAATCAAAATATTTCTCATTGTCTTGGTTTGAAAGACAG